CAAAATGGTGTGTGCGGGGGTAATATATTATCTCTGTTAGCTTTTGCTCGGCTTTGAATACAGCAACTTTATTTTTGGAGTTTTATCTGAGGCAAGAAGAGTACAGCATAACCTCCACTCAATATGCAGCCCTAACAATGTTTAAAGAAAAAAATATTGGTGAAATAACTCCTTTAATATGCAGTTCATTGAGGAGAAGTGGGAAGTATAATCTTTTAATCTTTTTTTTTTTTTTTTTTTAATAGCAGCCTTGCTGTGGAAGAGAGTTCTGTTATAAAGAGGCAGTTTCACGGTAGAATGAACAAGGAAAAGGCAAACGATCATAACAAAGCAATGAACTTTGCTGCTCATCGTCAGTGTTTTATCCAGCTGTCAGTAGGTCTCTCCCAAATAAGAGCCTGCTTTTTCCTCAGAGGGCTTTCCCTTCACTTCCATCGTCCAATGATTTTCTTTCTTTGGCTTTGAAATATGTTTCTTTCTATGGAAATGAATTCTGGATCATGAGCTCAGAAGAGGAGCAGAAGCAGGCTGATGAGAGATGGGCTCTGAGGCTAAATGCCCTGTTTAATCATACACAGCTGCTGTAACTCTCACAGTGCTAACAGAAGCTGTGAATTTGTGAAAATAGATTTGTGTGTGTTTGGATGATGGAAGGGAGCTCACCTTTAGAGGTTAGTCCAGATTTCAGTGCCCTGTGCTCAAGGGAATGGCTGCGCTGGGGATAACTGGACTTTGTCCAGAGAGCTCCCCTTCCTCTCTTTCCTCCAAGCTCATTTTATTAAGTTTCCTCTGTATCCTAAGGTGTTGGTGACACCATACTACAAAAATACTTAGGGGGATCTCCTGGTCCATCCACCCATGAAAAAGATGGATATAATTATGTGTTGGTCTTTTTGATACATGCTGTAAAATTGACTGTGTGGCAAATGAAAACTGATAGTCCTCTTTTTTTCTTTTTTTTTCCTTTGGCTCAGACATTTTTCTTTGCTCACACCTAAGAGTATTTCAGAATTCCATAATACATATTTAATTGCGTATATACTCCTCCTTGAAACAAAGTTACTACCTTCATGCAAGTATTTCTATCCCTGACTCAGTGGAGTGAAGGCAGGATATCTGTCTTGGCTGTGGGATGAGAGAAGTGTAGGCTTTGTTTAGGTAGCCCCAAATCTGGAGTGGGTTCCAGGGGGGTAGGTCCATTACCAGTGGCCTAACCTGAAACTTTTCCTGGTGCACCCTGTTGATGACGTCTTTGTAGGAAAGAGATGCACACCTTGTGCCATGGCTGAGTTCTTACTGACCCGTGCTTTGTTCTTTTAGGTGTTTTTTTCCTGCACATGCAATGCTGCTGTTGATGGGACCCTAAGGAAAAAGGCTGAAAAATTCAAGGCTCACCTAACGAAGAAATTTAAATGGGACTTTGAGGCAGAGCCTGATGACTGCGCTCCTGTAGTGGTAGAACTTCCTGAGGGTGTGCAGGTGGACTAAGCAAAATGCTCGCTTAGAAACTAACAGCTTTTTAAAAGAACTCTTTCACCACATCTCCACCCTTGCCAGCTTCCTAAAGTCTGTTTCTGAAGCTTACTCCTCTTTCTGCCTTAGAAGCAGATGTGGAAAACCCAGGAGGATTCCTAACTTCAAGAGGAGACCAGAATCATTGGAGGAGTTTGAGTATTGTCACACAGCTACTTTGGGCACCTTGTGGTTTTATTCCCTAGCTCTTCTGCAGCATCTTCTCATCCTGTACCCCGCTGACCTCTAGATCCCTGGTCCCCTCCGTCCTTCTGAGCGAGGAGTGTTAAGCCCACACAACTGGTTATTGCAGCTTTTGATAGCTGGAACCCAGAGTGTGAACTGAGTTGTTCTGCTCTTCCTAGGCTTGTGTTACAGGGGTGTAACCACAACGGTTTCAAAACTCTGTTGGATGCTTATGCCACTTACTGTGACTTACTGCCATGATCTGTTGTGGAGGAGGACTCAGAGCCACAGCAAAATTCCTCCCATTTCATACCCCTAATACTGAGGTATCTTATTCCTCTCATTCTGTTAAAGCCTTTTGTATTTACTGCTGACACTCTGTTAAGCCTGATGTTACCAAACTGATAACTTTTTTTTACGAGAAATAGAGTTATTGGACAGTAGTCACCTGGGTCTTGAAGAAGAGAGCCAGCACATGATAAAGTCAAACTTCCACATGAACTGGATCCTCTGTTTTGTTATAATTGAGAACCTTACATATTTTCACTGGTGCCAGTCTCTTCTTTCTCCCCATTTCCCACAGGCAGGCCATAAGAAAACTTGTGGTGCTCGTTCAGAGCTGCACAGGGATGTAGTCCTACCACTCTTTACTTTCTTGGCTGTTCGACTCCTCCAGCAATTTCTCTCTGTGCATGTCTAACAAGATAACGCTGTTTGTTAGTCTTTTCTAGTTCAAAATAAATCTCAAGAGAGCCTTGCCTACAGAAAGCCTCTGTATAAATAGTTCTGAGTTATTTAGCCAAATGTTATGGTACGGTGACACTGCCTTCTCTTTCTGATCGGGATGTCCAGCGTCCCCAGAAGTAACATCACAGTGGTATCTGTGACATCCAAGGACAACTCGTAGTAAAATGGTGTATGGCATGTTCTGGGAAGAAGGTATGTGGTGAGATGTTTCCAGATAATCAGGAACGTACAACAGGAATCGGCTTCAGAAGCCCTTGTCTACCGCTCGGTGCTGTTTCTTCCCTTTCCTCAAAGGCTCTGCACTCCGTTACTCTGGTGTCTCGGTTTTTCCATTTTAAACATGCTCCGTATTGACTACAGGCCCTTAGGGGACATTACTCTGATTTGGCAAGTGTTTTGTTCTTAAATCCTTCTTTCCATGCTTTCTTGTCCTTAATACCCTTGAGATGTTCGGTACCGTACCTTGACTGTGCTCCCCTCACGCCTTCTTGCTCTTTGTACCCACAGGCAGTGCTGGCTTTGCAGTTGCCAGCCGGACAAATAATTTGTAGTGAATGGTCCCGGCTTTGACGAAAGATGTCTTTTTCAGTTTCTTGGCTATTTGCACCAACCTGATGACCAGTTCTGTTGCTTTGAAGCAGAACACTAATCATTGATGTAAGTAGCAAAGGTAGCGTGGAGCCTGGGGACCTGTCTGTCTGGCGGGGGAGAGGAGCCATGCTCTGTGGCTGCAGAGCAGGCTGCCCAGGCAACGCTCCCACTTGTTTGATGTATAGGTTAATTTGAGTGTGTCTTTGTTAATTTTCAGTTGTTGTTTTTGAGATTTAACTTCCAAAGTGTTGCTATAAAAGTGTAGTTCATTATGGGAACCTGACTGTTACACAGAGAAAAGAGAATATAATTGTACTTCACTTGTGGTTTGTTGTTTTGGTTTTTTTTTTTTCTTTTTGCAAGGTTGTAATAGGGAGAAGTAATATCTCTCATTAGACCCGCAAAATAGGTGAGCAAGAAACAGGCCTTTAGGGACACAGTCCCTGCGTTAGATGTGAAACAGAAGCAGCAAACTTTCAGCTAAATACAGGTTGAGGTGTTCAGAATTCAACTCCATGATAGGAATCAGTTGTACACTTTGAGGGAAAAGGGAAGCTGGCACATAGGAAGCAAGCTGGATGTTTGCAAGGGGAGG